AAAAGGAAGAATAACATTTTTTCATTCGAAGCTTCGTAGTCGAGAAAATCGACTGTGAACATTTACTGGTGTACCAATGGTTCATCCCCACCCTTAACCAAAGTTAAGTGCACGCCTACGCAGTAAATGTTCAAAGTCGATTTATTTCACTACGAAGCTTCAAATGACAAAATTTTGTTCTTTCTTTTCGATTTGTTTTTTCGCGTAGAATCATATACTACGAATTTCGACTCACCCTGTATATATGGGGGTCCCAAAATTCGCGCAAGAAGCAATTTGAATAGAAAACACAGGTTTCCAATTAAAAATTGTAAATATTGTTCAACGATAAAGACGCGTTATTTTTTCGTATAACGCTCCATTTTTAACCCTTTCTACTCATATGTCGCCATATAGTCGCCATTTTACATATTATTATTATCCATATATTAAATTTACGCATTTTTCTAATTTTTCTTACTAAACTGGCAACCTAAATCGCAATATGTTCCCACAAAGATGTTTTCATTTTGATCGCGAATGAACAAAAATTCCGAATTGATTGGTAGTTTTCTCAAATATAAATTCGAGTGCAAAGGGTTAATTACCCTGAACTGTCAGCTGTCACGCTGTCCCCTTTTCTCCATTGACAATACTTTATCGCACAGGTGGCGCAAAATTCAAATCTTGCCCAATTTTTGGGACACCCTATATACATATATATGAATATAAGTATACATGCTAAATCGATAAATTCGAAAAGGAAAAATATAAATTTATTTTAAATATTGCTAATTAAGTGCTTGAGTTAATCACTTAGAATAAATCCAAGTCATAGGTATTATAAAAAGAACTATAATTACGATATAGTTGCGATATTTTATATCGACACGAAATATAAGAAAGAATAAGTGCGAATTCGATATATTCGATATATTTCGACGTTCCCTAAGAGACAATAAAAGACGAAATTCACGTAGATCGAGGTTTAACGCATGCGAGCATTGTTTCGCGCCAGCGGAAGCGGATGAACGGAAGACATAGAGACTCACGCGTTCCATCCATCGCTCAGGAGTGAAAAACACGCGTAAATCCTCGATAACCCATTGTCGCGCGAATCCTCGCAAAGGTCGCGAGAGTTTTGACGTTCCGTGGGATCCATGGGATTACTCTATCGTTCTTTCCCTGTCCAAATTTACCGACCAAACAAAACGGAACTGTTCGCCGAGCACGACATCCGACTCCGCTTCAATCCCGGCCATTTTATCGTCGAACATTAAACCTGTCACTACTGATCACTCGACGGCTGATAGTCTCTCGAAATAGAGGATGAAAACAGAGATAGACATCGTAACACTGGTCACACGGTACCGTATCATAAGAAATTTTGCAGAATTTTTAACCAAAAGCGAAGATGGATCGTTTAATTCTCATCCTCGCCGATAGATGGCTTCCTACTTGAAGGAGGTTTCTCGCAAGTCCCGGTGAGTCCTCGACCTCCTTTATATAGAAGTTCTTAGGCCACCTAAGTATCCCTGTCTAAGGCAGCATCTGTTCGAAAGCTTTAGTAACGAATCCATTAGCTTTCCTTTTTCGTCCTTCTATCTGCTACTCTGTCATACCATAACCACCAATGGGGTACCAACCGACAGCACCATAGGAATACCACACCATCAGTAGGAACTACTGAAACAACGAAGACCTCTCCATCAGTAGGAATCACCGAAACAACGAAGACCCCTCACCATCAGTAGAAATCACCGAAACAATGAAGACCGTATCATCATCATCATCATCATCATTGTAGGAACTACTGAAACAACGAAGACCTCTCCATCAGTAGGAATCACCGAAACAACGAAGACCCTCACCATCAGTAGAAATCACCGAAACAATGAAGACCTTATCATCATCATCATCACCTAACCCTGCGGGGGAGAGAGAACCCCCAAAAATTGTAGGTTTAGGTTAGGTTCCAATACTATATTCGAGCTATTCAAACCATAATCTACCCCACAAAAATCCCAACTTGTCTCTATACAAAATGAAACAGTGCCCGAGGAATATAGAGGAAGCTCTCGAGGATCGAAAGCTGTAGAAACCTCGATAAACTCTCAGAAAATCGCGCATAATGGATGACGAATATCGACCAGGCCGAAACCAAGTCAACCAAGAGCGAAATCACGCCCTGTCATCCTCTCGGAACATTTGATACGCGTGTTACGCAATACTTGGCCTAATTACCGCGAAGATAGAAGAAGCTTGGAGCGGAATTAACGAGCCGACGCGACTCGCGCAAGAAGAAGAGAGTATCCCACTTGTCGTCGCTATTAAAAGTGAAAACAAGAGAAAGGCGCGCTAACTCAGCTCGAAAATACGCGCGATGTTGTGCGTGGTTGGGGCAAAAATAAATTCCTGTCCGCGGAATGTCGCCAGAGCTTCTGGAGCGGTTCCAATTTTAAAAACGAGCCTCCAGTACGACCGGCCATCATCGGTGGGTTTTAACGACAACGCAAAGTGGAAAGGTTGTTTGCGGGATGGGAAATTTAAATGTTGTCCCCGGGGCTGCGTTTCGCCATTTTATTCGATATTTATCGTCGTCGTTAGTCTCGCTCAAGACAGATATACTAGATCCACGTGACAAACCTGAGTGGATTAAGGCTGTGATGGATCAGCCTTCGCCGTGGCTGTACACGAACTAGATGTGGAACGCGTGACAACGGGACATGCCTCGTGGATATCGGTAATATCGAGGCACGTTAATGGGGAGAAACGAAGCAGAGGATGGGTTGTAAATTTTTCCACTTTGAATTTCTTTCCCCCTTCGTAAATCGGGAGAAAGAGAGACGCGCTAGGCGCCATCTTGAGTGGTCTGGCTTTCAAATTTTCGGCGCAATGCATCATTTCGAGTGTAATTTTAACCCTCTGCTGACAAAGATTCTTTTGTTATTGGGAATTATCCACGAGTCGATTGTTTCATGCGAGATTGACATTGTCATAAAATAAAGAAAGAAAATTATATATACGTTTACTTACATATTAATTATTTTATTCCGATATTTTTTTAAATTAAAGATGGAGTACCTGGTCTTCCTAATTTTGCTAAGTTTACATCGGTATTGTCGAGACACTGAAAGTAGCCTCTTAGGTGGAAAATGTTGAAAAATGATTTTAATAAATACCTAATCAAATAGCTGTTTTAATTTATAATTTAGTAAAATAGTTTGATCGTTTCAGGCTTTCGAAATTTTTGACGTGATGCATCATTTCGTAAATAATTTTAACCCCCCTGCAGACGAAGATTCTTTTGTCATGGAGAATTATCGACGAGTCGATTATTTCTTATGAAATTGACATTGTTTGTAATAAAATGAAGGAAGAGTTTACGTACATGATTATTTTATTCCGATATTTTTTTAAACTTAAAGATGGAGTACCTGGTCTTCCTAATTTTGTTAAATTAGCATCATTATTATCGAGGCACTGAATTAACCTCTTAGGTAGAAAATATTGCAAAATGGTTAATTAAACGAAAAAGATTTTAATAAATACCTAATCGAATAGCTATTTTAATTTATAATTTAATGAAATAATTTGATCGTTTTTCGCGATATTTAGGATCGAGTTTTAAATTTTCTTGAATGTGCTCGTAAATTTCCTTCGTTGCGCGAGAGTCAGTCAATCTTCTTTGGAGAAACGTATCGTCCGATTAAAGTACCGAGGAAAATTATTGGATCGTAATGATCAAGCCGCACGATGCCGAAGTCCAAACACTCGGTTCCATTACTTTCGTCGGGCTGAGTTATTCGCATGGGCTGCAACTTTCGATTGTCTGGTGGCGACAATGTCCACAGAGACGGCGGATTACGCGAGAGAAATCGTAAACCAAGGGTGCTTTATTCGCGGAAACCTTGGATTAGTCTCGCAGAAATGGCGAAACAGCCGGAGGAGACGCATCAAGCTGACACGCTCCGCAAATATGTTAAACGCAGCACCGGGTTTATAAATAACTAAAAATATCGAAGTGCCTTAATCTCCGTTTAAAATGTAAACTACTATTGTTATAGGAATATTAAATCTTGTTATTAAAGTTTAAATAATATCGCAGAGCATATTATTAGAGCAAGATCGTGTCATCATTCGACGTCAACAAAATTTGCACTGTGACATACTAAACCAAAATAAGAAAAATATTACTATAATTCAAGGAATACAAGATGTTGCTTACATCCTTACTTTAAAACGACAAACTGTGTATCAATTTTACTAACCAAGTAATTCTACTTACTCTCAAGCTACTCACGCACTAATATTATATTATAATCACTCGAATTAGAATCGCGTGAGATTAAAAATAAGTTAATATTAAATTAATATTGAGACGATAAATTAATAAATTAATATTAAGTCGAATATAAACATTTCCTCGATATATTTTATTCATACGACTGTGGCGCCATCATTCTCACTCTCGCTATGAGATAAATTCTAGGTTAAAGGAGGTTCGAGGATTTTCTTATAAGTCCTCGGTAAACCCTCCACTTTCTATACATCAAATTTAAAAAATTTCAGTAGTATCCCGGTCCGAGGTCTGCTAAGTAGTCTTACCCATGAGTCCACTGGCAGGCCCCGGAACCAAACATCCCAGGGACTAGGCATCCCTTCCTTTATCCTTTCATCCCTTCCAGCACCCCAGCACACAGTGGGTACCTTCCTACAATAACCATGAGAGAGGATCCCCACACATTTATTACTAATGACATGAGAATAAAAAGAATGCGAGATAGTCGAAGTATTTTATTAAAGAACGTATTTTAATAACCGCCATATTGGAATCCATTCGATTGATCGAGATACCTAATCTAGACGCGTTGCTATGGCAGGAAAGGGCATTGTTGTCCATCGATGATTAAAAATAAATTAAAAATAAAACGCGAATAAATATTTTTGTCATCAATCGTGATGTTTCTAACGATTATAACGAACTGCAATTCTCACGTGCAACCATCTTGCATCCACAGCTGCGAGGGTTGCAAGGGCTTCTTCAAGAGGACCGTGCGCAAGGACCTGTCGTACGCGTGCCGCGAGGAGAAGTCGTGCATCATCGACAAACGGCAGAGAAATCGATGTCAGTATTGCAGATACCAGAAATGCCTGGCGATGGGTATGAAGAGAGAGGCGGTCCAAGAGGAACGTCAGCGTACGAAGGAAAGGGATCAAAGCGAGGTGGAGAGCACCAGTAGCCTGCACTCGGATATGCCGATCGAGCGCATCCTGGAAGCCGAGAAACGAGTCGAGTGCAAGATGGAACAGCAAGGGAACTACGAGGTAAATATTCATCGGAAACGACGAAAACGGAAGCAGTGCTATTGGAACAGTTCACGACGTCGATTGTTCGGTCTAGCAGCTGTAGTCCCGGTTGCTACTCGTCTACACTCGTTCTTCGATTATTCCATTCGATTGCTCGGAATCTCTTCTTTTTAACTCCTTGCGCGAGAAAATTATGGTTCATAACACGGAATAGTCGAGAAATCTGGTAATAACATAGAATTATGAGTAATGATCTATGATTGTATATCCAAATGAAATTTTTAGGTACTTTTAATACAACTTGTGACATTAAATTATTATTTAATATATAATTACATTCTTAATTTGGAAATTAATTTTTTTGAGAGAGAGAAGTATTTATAATTTTATAATTAATTTATGGAAAGTTAGGTATTCTCTAGATAATTTTACAAATTTTATTACAGCTGTTAATCGAATAATTTGTACTTGCAAATTTATGCAGAGACAGAATCGTGGCAATACAAATTGTGACATTAAATTATTATTTAATATATAATTACATTCTTAATTTGGAAATTAATTTTTTTTGAGAGACAGAAAAGTATTTATAATTTTATAATTAATTTATGGAAAGTTAGGTACTTTCTAGATAATTTTAAAAATTTTATTACAGCTGTTAATCGAATAATTTGTACTTGCAAATTTATGCAGAGACAGAATCGTGGTAATACAAATTGTGACATTAAATTATTATTTAATATTGTATTCTTAATTTCGAAATTAATTTTTTTGACGAAGAGAAGTATTTATAATTTTATAATTAATTTATGGAAAGTTAGGTATTATCTAGATAATTTAAAAAATTTTATTAGAGTTATTAACCGAATAATTTGATACTTGCAAATTTATGCAGAGACACAATCGTGATTAAGATGATAGCGATTTTAGTTAGACCAGTCGAAGTATAAGTAACGCGATGAAATATTAAAGAGGGAAAAATTATTAGGTTAATCTAGTAACTTGTACGAGATGACTCGGCCTGGTAGTTAACAGGATAATTTATCCTTGCAGTAAGATTCGTATTTTTGTTTTGATTCACGTTTGTTGCAAATGGGCTTGACGAAGATGCTTGCGAGGATAGAACGACAGCTTTGGACAGCGCACAGCTGTCTCACGAAATCAATTTATTTGTCATTGGACCCGGTCGAGTGATTGAATTAATCTCGTTTCAGATGTCCTTTAGTGGCTATCTGATATGATCGTTTCGTCGTCTAATGCGAATTAAAAAGCTGATCGAGTCGTGTATACCTCGATGGACACGCAGCTCCGAGTAATGGAGGACGTCTAATGATGCAAAATGATAGTCATGCTTTATCTTCGTTCTATTAGAGAAAGCTAAAATTATCTCCGAGTTTCTTAACGCTAGAATTACCCATCTACGGTATGCACCTAATCGCGAATTAAATATTTTTATACGCTAAAAATATAACAGTTGGATATGTTACAATGAAACGTTACAACGTAACAAAAATAATCAAATATAATATAATATACAATTAATAAAAACAAGGAAAAAAATAAATAATTTTAATTACTTAATTTAATTACAATTATAATAATTATACTTTTAATTGTTTGATAATTCTAGCGTTAAAAGCAGTATTAAAAATTTGGTCAAATATCATTTTGCGTGTTACATCCCCTAAGTTTAATGACAGTAGCTTTCTTCGCGTCCTCGGATTACACGTTGCAATAGGAATAAAGAATTACTGATCACTCTTTTCTTTCCAACCCCGTACAACCCCCTAAGTAACTTCAAACTTACATATACATATTATCTCGTTCATTATTGTACCTGTCTTTTATTACTGCATCATTGAATTAGTCCCAAACAATTTACCTAACAATTATGGATTCCTAATTCCCCAATTAAAAAAAGAACTTCCAAGCTCCCTTAATTCTTCTCCTCGCACACACATCCCACCCTTTGTCCAGAAATTAAAAATTCCCAAGTATAGAGAAATCATCCACTAACTATTAATTCCACTATTGAAAATTTAATTAAATTCGCCATTATCGCACGAAAGAGTCGATCAGTACCAAAATCTCACCCCCCAACAACGTCACCTAAATTTCTCCAGGGAACCATAATTCTCCAGGCAACCAAAATCGATCAAAATATTATCACGTGTGAATTAAATCCGCCATAAAACCGGATAAATTTGATCTCGCAAGACCATACCTCGTACTCAGACGGATGCCAAAGGAACCGGAAACGTGGTTTCCCTTATCCACCCCGGCACTCGACGTCGTGGACCGATTCTCGTGGAATGGTGTGCGTAGCTGTTCCACGAAACGCTCCTCCGATTAATTCGGCATTATCTTGCAATGCACAGAATGCAGTGTCGCACATTTGCAACGCCACGAACAAACAGCTGTTCCAGCTGGTAGCATGGGCGAAACACATCCCGCATTTTACGTCGTTGCCACTGGAGGATCAGGTACTTCTGCTCAGGGCCGGCTGGAACGAGTTGCTGATAGCCTCCTTTTCCCACCGTTCCATCGACGTGAAGGACGGTATCGTGCTGGCCACGGGGATCACCGTGCACCGGAACTCGGCGCAGCAGGCTGGCGTGGGCACGATATTCGATCGAGTACTTTCGGAGCTTGTGTCGAAAATGCGCGAGATGAAGATGGACAGGACGGAGCTTGGTTGCCTCAGGTGGGTAATTACTCCATCACACGTTCCCCTTCGTTGCCCTCAGTTTGCCTGAATACGGTACCGTTCTATGTCTATCTACCAGTTCTTAGACCTGGGTTCGAGGAATATCGTGCTCATAATTCTTCCTAGTTTCTAGAATCAGTCAAATTCCGATTTGACTTGCTTCTGAGAAATCATCCGATAAGACAAGCCAAAAATGGTCCCAAGCTATGAACGCTGAAAGGGAGACTACTACAGAATCCTACCTTAAGACTACCACAGAATCCTGTCTCAACTCCTTGCGGCACAGGATTTCAGATAATAAAATAGACCCATGATGCACGGAAATTTGATTGCGTTTTAAATGCAACAAAATTGGTGTATTTTTATAAAGGAATAAAGGAATTGCATGATGTAAGAACATAAAACCAGGAAAAAAATGATTGCCGCGATAAACCTTGCGCTTGCAACAACTGATGAACCTGAACTGGCATAATGTTAAATGTTGCCTATAAGAGCGAATACATTTGTAACATTCGTCGAAGGTATTGCCAACTGCTTCACGTGAATAAGACGAGATACAAACATATGCACATACAGCTATTGCAATATTTCCAGGTGGGACTAAAAATATCCCACCATGCATTACGGTTTCTTTTAATCCCAGTGTGCCCCAAAGAGTTGAGAGCTTGGCGTGAAAACCGAGTGATTTTCCGACTCTTTTCTGTAAAGTTTGTTCATGCTCTTTTGAGAGAAAGATCTGAAGTTATAGGATATATAAGAATGATGAAATAACGTAGATGTGTAAATGTTCCCAATGGTTTTCAATTTTGCGATTTACTTACCGAGTTGTTAATCACGAACAGATCTATAATACTCTTCAACCCCGAAGTCCGAGGACTGAAATCCATCCAGGAAGTGACCCTGCTCCGCGAGAAGATCTACGCAGCCTTGGAGGGCTACTGCCGCGTGGCCTGGCCCGACGACGCAGGAAGATTCGCGAAATTATTATTACGCCTACCGGCCATCAGGTCGATCGGGTTAAAGTGCCTGGAGTACCTGTTCTTCTTCAAAATGATCGGCGACGTGCCGATCGACGATTTCCTCGTGGAGATGCTAGAGTCACGATCGGACCCTTAGGAGCAGAAGGTGTGCCGCGTCTTGGGGCACACCGATCTATAAGAAAGAAACAACGGAAAAGAAGATATATATAAATATATATAGATATATACATATACATAGATATATAATATATCAAAAAGCAAGGAACAGCATTGAAGATATACGTGTGTAAGAAAAGAAATTCCCGTGGATAACTCCAATACGATGCCTCGAACGGTAAAAAGGCGAGAAAGCAAAAGGAAAACAGGTACCCTCGCGTGTCGGGTGAGATGGAATTTACTTACGTTTCTCTTCTACACCGTTTTATTTATACCTGTTCGTTAGCGTACTATGTCCGACATATTATGTCCTTTCCTTCGATTCGTATCGAGAGCATGCCGGAAGTGGAGCAACGGATGCACTCGCAGAGAACACGCTCGCCGCCAGCAGCAGCGAACACCCCCTCGAAGTGGAACTTCAACGAATGCCCGAGCTCTGGAACTGGAACGGCGTTGCGCCCCCGGAACGATCTCTCTGCGTTCTTTAGTCTATATGGCACGCGTTGCGTATGTGCGACATGCGCCCCGTCGTATGTTCGGGCTAGGTTCACACGCGTGGCGATTTCCTCTGCCGGATAGTTGGCGATATTTGCACGATTCTCGATTCGCACGAGCTTCGATTGCACTCACGTCGAATCGTGCACCCCCTGCGACCACGTGCAAGTTCCTAAGACGCTGTTCTCTCATGTCTTTTTTGTTGCCTTTTTGCATACGCCTCGTATTCGTTTCCCCGTTGACGTGTCAGTTTCTCTGCTGTCTTTCAAAGTATAATTGTTGTACAGACACGATTCTCCGACGATCTCCTCCGATCACTGTGGATACGGTCCTCGACGTGGGTGCAATCCGTAATAAGCGTAACATGTTGTTGTCGGGTTATATTTACATTCCAACGCTGCCTCGATCCGGATCGTCGTTTGGAACAGCCACGATCGCATCTAGATATTATTATTATTATTATACATGCATAAAACGGGAACGTTTTACACGTGTGTGCACTATACGATAATTTATTGTTTTGTATTTTAGAGTATAGAAGGAAAAGAAATAAAACTTACTAATTCATTATTGATTAAATATATTATGATAGTTCTTTCTATATATATATCTATGTATATACGCACACACATACAAGTTATATATAATGTAATTTATATATATCCGTGTGTGTGCGTGCGAGTGTGTGTGTGTGTGTATATACAGCTTATGTCTGTAATAAAAGGAAACACCGAAATCGCGTAACGCGTACCGTTACGGAATGGGGAGTAAATGAAAAGGGAAAAACGGTAGATTACACTCGAGGTATCAACCATCATTGATACACGCGCTGTTAAAAGATAAACTGGCATATGAAAGAGAATTTCTTGTTAAGAACGATTTTTACTTTTGGTATACGGCGAATTGCATAGAAATCTTATGTAGTTTATATATCGATATCTTTTTGCCTTTTCTTTTTCTTTTCTTCTTTTTTTTTTTTTTTTTTTTTTTTTTTTTTTTTTTTTTTTTTTTTT